TAAGGTTGAGCAACGAAGATATGTGGACACGCGTCAAGCAGCCCAAGCGGTTGACGTACAGGTTGTAATCAGCCGGGTGAAGGGAAGCTTTTCCCTAAGTTATTATAGCAAGGTGCTCGCGGGAACGACATGCTACAGTGCGATGACCAAACTCATCACTATGTAATTGACCACATTCATCTTGAATTGGTTGACAATGTGACAAAGGGAGAGGCTGGCAAAAACAGTGTGTTGAAGTGTGATGACCAAGCTCACCTTGAGATTGATCATGGTCGTCGTTAATTGGTGGATGACTGACAACCATCGACGATGGTGATGAAGAGGAGAAGTGACAATATAGATGGTCATATTAATCCGAGTTGTGAACTGTATGGCACCATTATCATAAGTTGTCGAAGATAACATGCTTACTGAGTTGGTATGTATGATATTTATTTTCACCCATTGCAACGCACGGGCATTTGTGCTAGTCAAATTATCAAAGTACCGAACGCGAATCATATGAACGTGATGAAAACTAGCTTGACGATAATTCCCATGTGTCCTCGGGAGCTCCTTTCTCATTATTAGAAATTGTCCAGGCTTATCATTTGCTACATAAAGGATTGGGCCACCTTGCTGCACTTTATTTACTTTATTTATTTTATTTACTTGTTACTCGTTACTATTTATCTTATCACAAAACTATCTATCACCTACAATTTCAGTGCTTGCAGAGAAAACCTTACTGAAAACCGCTTATCATTTCCTTCTGCTCCTCGTTGGGTTCGACACTCTTACTTATCGAAAGGACTATGATTGATCCCCTACACTTGTGGGTCATCAGTAGCGCACAAAGTGTTCACCCGGTAAACGGGGGTTGCATAATCTCATAGTCATAGGAACATGTATAAGTCATGAAGAAAGCAATAGCAACATACTAAACGATCAAGTGCTAAGCTAACGGAATGGGTCAAATCAATCACATTATTCTTCTAATGATGTGATCCCGTTAATCAAATGACAACTCATGTCTATGGTTAGGAAACACAATCATCTTTGATCAACGAGCTAGTCAAGTAGAGGCTTACTAGTGACACTATGTTTGTCTATGTATTCACACATGTATTATGTTTCCGGTTAATACAATTCTAGCATGAATAATAAACATTTATCATGATATAAGGAAATAAATAATAACTTTATTATTGCCTCTAAGGCATATCTCCTTCAGTATCCACACATGTATCAAGTTTCCGGTTAATACAATTCTAGCATGAATAATAAACATTTATCATGATATAAGAAAATATAAATAACAAACTTTATTATTGCCTCTAGGGCATATTTCCTTCACCTACATATGGTTGATGAATTGGAGCTATTGTGTACCGTTCTAGGTTGTGACTATTACATATTGAACTTCATCCAAATATCAATCGCTACTCCAATGCCTATGCTTTAATACGATTGCATTTGCTTGAGTTACTACTATTGCTTTGTCTGTTGCTGCTGCCATTATTGTTACTACTGTTGTTACCCTATTACTATTGCTATCACTACTATCAGATTGTTGTGCTACTAATAAATTGCATCGAAGAAGTGATTCTCAGGTGTGATTGAATTGACAACTCAACTACTAAGGCTTATAAATATTCTTTGACTCCCCGTATGTTGACTCAATAAATTTGGGTGAAATATTACTCTCGAAGATTGTTGCGATCCCCTATACTTGTAGGTCATCAGGGGGTCTTCCGAATCAAAGAAGTAAAGACTGTTCTATTTAATGCAAACATTTGGCATGTCAATATTTTGACAAGCTAACATGTGGTAAAATCTCTTGAAAAGGACATATGGTAAAGTCAAAAGTTTCAAAAGTTTGACAATTTTTTAGGGGTCGGTGAAAACGAATAGATAATCGTTTTTTTAGACTTGCTTATTATTGGTGTGCCAAATATTGGAATCAAACTATGCGGCATTCATTGTGGCTACAACTGGTGTATGTGCTGCCGAGCACGAAGAACATTGTCTCCCCTCTATGACGATGAGCCAAGCCTTGGTACGACGATGAAAGGCTCCAATTTTGGAAAAAAAATTCAAAAGGATGTTAAATTCTCCGCCTTTGCATCACATGATGCACTCCACCATGTTATTGAAAAGGCTTTCGCCCTACATTATAGATAAAGCAACCGTCATCATACAAACGAAACAACACTCCATCATAACACAAGCACTCAAGGCAAGAAATATAGGTGCTAAAGACTAACATCGACGATGGTATGCCTGCATCATATCCCTTATGGGGGTTTCGTTGGGGAGTGCCGTTTACTTCGGTTGTCGCGACTTTCTCTGGGCTGGCTCGAAGCTCCCCCGGTTGTGGACACTCTTGCTTGTTTCCTCTCATATACACGTGAGTGCGCCGTCGGGTCTCCAGGACCCTTCTATTCGCCGTGGCACTCCTCGGTACGGACGGCCCTCTCCCGGCGATAGTTCAGTGGGGACTTTGAGGCATGGTCCGGTGGTTTCATCAAGGAGACCCGAGTTCGTTGAACGTTGGCTCTTGCCTCTTGGGTTTCTTCCAGTTGTGGTGAAGCCACTCTTGTGCTTCCGCCGAGCAACACACTCGTAATGCTTTGTTGGCCTTGTCGGTAATGTGTTACCTAGCTAGTTTTTTCTTTGATCATCTCATAATAATCATATATGAGAATTTCCGGCCGTGTTGTTTTTATCTATAAAACAGACGCTAGCATGCTCTCACATAGAGTGAGGTGAGACAGATGATTAAGCAAAGAACATTCGGTTTAGGTATCTCCTTTGGAGCAGAACCCATGCTGGTATGCATGGCGAGTCTTTTCACACAATAGGAAAGCTCGGACTATCGAAAGCGAAAGAGCAGTAGACGCATTACAAAAATACTTATGTAAAGCGAGAAGAATGCGATACCATCCCATCCCATGCACGTAAAGCAAAGTCGCAGATGCTGTTCAACTTTGCTCGCTAGATGCAATTGCTTTAGTGTTGATTATTTGCAGGCAACGTGCTCTAAAGCTTGTTCCATCTATCTTCGTGCATCGACATTTCGGCAAATGTGCTCTCTTAGTTAAGCCTAGTTAACTGAGAACAATATTTTGTTCCTAGTTACACAGTAAACCTCAACCATCCAATTAAATCGTCACATGCCACATGCTTCCACGTACGTACTCCCTCCGTAAAGACAGAGTGAGTACATGATAATGGTCACTGAAACAAGCTAAGAGATCCAGACAGCAGAGTCCAAGCAATTCATTGATTCAGAAAAAAATCAACATAAGCCGTAAGAATAATCAAACATAAGACTACCATGTTAAATTCCAAGGTATGAAAAGCCTTATTGTTCCCTCAAGCTTGGCGGCAGCTCGTCTCTGTTTCTGGAACATCCCTGACAAGAACCCAAAGAAAGTTATGTGCATGATTTGGCTATTTGATCTCTCGGTCTCTCCCTGTCACCTACCACGCTTTGAAAATAGCCTCAGTCAGCTAAAAACACTACGTCCTAACCTGCAAAACTAGAACATTGTTCTGCCTTGGCCGGAGGGAAGGCTTTGCTCATCACACATGGGCCTGACTGACTGACTTTAGAGCATTACTAGTAGAACTTTCAAACCCTGAAACCCTTATAGCAGTTTTAAGGGTTGAGAAGTGCCAGTTTTTTAACACTTTTAAGGGTTGAAAAACAGGGGCAAAGACTAGAACCCTCAAACCCAACCCGTAAACTGCTTTAAGGGTTGGATTTGAGGGTTCTAGTCTTTGCCTCAACCCCAACCTTTAAAACTGTCATTTCATATATCACACATTTCATCACATTTCATCATATGACATATCATAAATTCCATCACAATTGACATAAAACAATAATCATTCTAGTTATTATTACAACACCGAATAAAACAATATCATTCAAATTATTACAACAATGTTTGAGCAAATAATACTAATTGTTTGAATCAAATAGGACATAAAAAAGGAAAAAAAAGATACTTCATGGGCCAATGCGCCGCCCATCCAACTGCCAGTGGTGCTCTATTAGATCATCCCGGAGCTGACCATGAGTGGTTGCATCCTCAATCTGACGATGTGCTTGAAGAAAAGCGTGTATGCGAGAAGGGTTTCTTTCCGGTTGCACACGGGTACCAACATTGTCATAGAAACAAGGGAGGTTTAACCCTCTCTCATCCTCTAGGATCATGTTGTGTAGAATGACACAACATTTCATGACAATCTCCTCATTGTTCATCTCCATCTGCAAAGGACATTCACTAATTAGTGCTAAAAAATGAAACAAAAAGAAAATGAAACAAAATGAAAAAAATCACATACCTCACCTCGGCCGGGGCAGGGCGGGAGGGCGGCGGGGGCCGCGGCTTGGACGGCGGGAGGGCGGCC